AAAAACATGGAGTTTTCCTTGCTATTAAGTAACAGTTGGTATCTGCAGATTGGTACAGCAATCCTTATTCATTTATTTTAGCCACTTGAGAAGAATGAGCGACACTGATTTTTTTCTTATTTTTTACCACCCATTCTCATAAAGCTAGTTTGCTGCATCTGTTGCTTTCGTTAGGGGAAAAAACCCCCATATGTTATGAAACTTAGAACAAGGAGATAGCTTCTGTTTTGCTTATTCCTTGCTGAATCCTGGTTTTGATTAGATTTCCTTTCTCTATTTTCTGCCATCTTTCCTCATCTCTTGTATTCCTAAAATACAGAATCTTAGAGGTGGGGAATGGTAGCATGGCTTGCTGTGTAGAGGTCTGGTGAAAGTAGTAATGCTGAGGTGCCCACCTTGTTGCCTTCCCCTTGCTGCCCTCTTGCTGTGTGGAGCAGTAAGGTCGGTGATCAGGGATTGTTCCGTTTTGTGTTCCCAAAGCAGTTACGTGTAGCAGATGTAGAACAGCAACAATGATGAGTTAATCCTTAACCCATGGAAAGCCAATAACAAATCTGTGGTGTGTGGGGGGTGTGTGTGTTTGTTTTCTCGTTCCTTGTGAGATAAAATAACCGGCTCTGGATTTTCTCCTTGCTGGTACCTTCCCTGGTGTGTGACTAACAATGTGTCTGAAATTATAGTCACTGGGAAGTCTGTGAGTAGGCAGGACCAAGAAATACCAATCCCATATTAATTTCTAGGTGTTTTTCAGTTGTCGCATTAGGCATTTGAGAAAATACATGTGGATTGTCTTAAAGGTGTTGCTAACTTTGATGGCTATAGGAGAACACCTACAGGCTTGATTTGTTGGAAGATGAAAGGACTGCTGTATAGTTAGCTGTAGTAGTATGCAGCTGGCTCTTGACCAAATTTTTTTTGTTTCATTTGTGTTAACTCAATTGATTTTGAAAATTGATTGATTTATTTGCATTTAAAGTATTTTTTTACATCATAAACATTACCTTTTTTCATTATAGGTGCCTCCTTTGATCCAGAAAACTTATTCAGATCCTGACCATTGCCGTGTTGCAGCACCAATTGATGACAATGTGAGTCTGATGTTTGTGCTTTCACAGTTGACTGCTCTAAAGCCAAATTAAGGAGTTAAATATTTTATGTTAAACTACATATTTTTTGTCTCTGGTCACTTACAAACAATTCTTAACTTTTTTAAAAGAAATGTATGTGCTTCCTTCTAAAATTAGCATCTTTGTTAGTACTAAGATGGTTTGTACAACAGTGGAATAACTTAGAATGGACATGGTGGACTTGATGATCTTCCAACCAAAACGATTCTATGATTCTTTGCTATGATTTCTGTGTGTTGTAGGTCAGGGTTTGTTTGGGGCTTTTTAGCATGTGGATACCTAAAATGTATAAAGTAATAACATCAGAAACTTGGAAGTGAAGTTTAAGCTCTTGATATTTTCGTAAGCTGTGGTATTTTGCCATTGTTTTTACCGAAACGTTGATCATACGCGTGAAAACAATTGGAAGAAAAAACATGTATCTCTAAGTAGGACAGAAAGTCCATAAGATTACCAGTGCTTATGTGCAATTTGCTATGGTTATAAATCTGCACCTGTTCCGCCTTTCACTTTTTGTGGGTTAGCTCACATCAAAGCATTCCAGTTTGTCTTCCTGTGCATAACTGCTCGGATGGCTTAGGAGATGTGATTTTTGCTCAAATAGCATAGCCTTGAGTTCTTCTAGGCTTTTTTCTTCCCCTGTTATTTTTCATTCTATTAGACTGTATCCACAAACTTGTTATTGCAAATGTGTATCTTTGATACTCTTAAAGTTTCTATTTTGCATGGACAAAACAAGATATCATTCAAGTTTGGGTGGAATTTTACATGAGGAAGCAGTATTGTAAAATTGAGGCATGGAACTGTAGAAATTCCAGTTGGATTGTGAATCCATGGTCTGTTACAGTTGTATATAAGGATGGACTTGTGTAGTCCACCAAAAAAAAGTCCGTATAGCTGTGAGATACTGCTCCTTCTTCCAGCGTAGGATTAACAGGGTAGTGCAAACTACTGCTCTTCCAGGTAGAGCTGGGTGAGATTTCAAATATGAAACAAAATACTGGATGATGTGCTTAGAATGGGAAAATCCTAACTAGAACAAAACAAAACGCCCCTCAAACACAGAGGGAATGCCTTCGGTCTGTGGAAGAATTTTTATGAGGATGCAGTAAGATTTTGTTTGCAGCTTGCTATTCTATAAAGTTTTAGTAATGAAGTTTAAATAATGAATCAGTCAAGAAAAATCAAGTTCATCCATTGTATTTGAGATAAATATTTGTGGTTTTCCATGCAGTACAACCATTACTCCAAATGCAATCTTTTTATGCAGTAGCTTAAACAATATGTAGGCTTGTATTTTGGTATCTTAGCAGGCCATGAAAAGCTGCTGTTTCCATAAGAGAAACATTAGTAACTAAGATGAAAATCTAATACTTTTGTACTACAGGATTTAGTTTACTCTCTCAAATTTTCATCTATGGAAAAAGTGTACACCTTCCGTCTTTTAAAAGTTCTATACAGTTACTGAATCCTGTGGTTTAGGATTTCTGTAGAAGTTGTTTTTTCTGAGCCAGTCTGTGTAACAACTTCTTTTAAATAAAAAAATTAAGATGCTTCCCTTAATCTACCAGCATAAAAGCACTTAATAGCCAGGTAGGCTAGAGTGATATCTAAATAAAAGGCAGTTCATTGCAGTCAAGTGTCATTGTTCTTGGGAGGTTCTAAATTTGGCAGAGTCAATCTGTTAAAGACACCAAAAAAAGTTCCTTCCAGTGTTTTCATGTTAGGCAATTGGAACAGCACAGCTGTCAAAGGAAGAAGTCAAGGACAAGCTCATTCTTTAGGACATATTTACCTGTGTTAACTTTACTCAGCTTCGAATCAGTCATAGAATGGTTTGGCTTGGAAGAGACCTTAAAGATCACCTAGTTCCAACCCCCCTCCCATGGGCAGGGACACCTCCCGCTAGGCCAGGTTGCACAAAGCCCCATCCAGCCTGGCCTTGAAGACTTTGGTGAGATAACTGTTCCATTTTGTCTGATTTTAAAAATTCAATGGATTTAAGCCTAGCTTTTCTTTACTTTTTAATCTTTCTTTGTTATTAGTGATGTTACAGAAGATTCCGGGAAGGTTTCATAGTGTAGTAAAATACAAAACAAAGTGTTTCTGTCATTGTTCTGTTTCTACTGAAGCCTTTGACCTGTGAAGTAGCTACTAAAACTAGTTTCCTTGAACTGAAAAAAAAGTTTACTGATTATACTTTCCCTTGCTTGAGCAGGTGGATGACAATATTCCGCTGAGAGTAATGCTCCTCCTTATGGATGAAGTCTTTGATTTAAAGGAAAGAAATCAGTGGTTAAGAAGGAATATAAAAAATCTGCTTCAGCAACTTATTAGAGCAACATACGGTGACACAATTAATAGGTACTGCTTTTCTTATGGAGAGCGATTGTGTGAGTGTGACTACTTAGACTGTGCCTATAAATCCTTCTTGGTATTACTAAAATATTGTGATTTAGACCTGCATGTATTCCATTTTGAGGAGGATCAGTAAACCAGGTACAAATGGGGTGTAAAATGGAGATAAAACAGTTTAGAATTCTACTGTTTCCAGGCTTTCACTTATAATGATTTGTTTCTGAAATGTTAAAAAAAAAAAAGTATAAAAATTCTAGAAACAGGATTGGCCCTCACTTGTCACATTGGATTAGTGCCATGAATCGAAAAACTAATTTCTGGCAGGTGAGAAGAAATTTCCTGTTACTATTTTGGGACATTCCTCACTCATTATTCTTTGCCCTTCACAAGTATACTTCTAATGTTTTCATCAGCCCCATTAAACACAGACAGTCCTTGTGGCACCAGTCGTCATACAGCCATGTAATCGCACGAGCACTGGATGTTTTTCAAAAATTAATTCCTCATGTCCAGGCGACAACTATTTTGAGAACTGTGTTTGCAAAACCACGCTGCCCTGTTGCACAGCTCTGCTTATTTTTTGCTGTTTTCAGATTCTAGTGTAACTAACTGACTTTGTGCACAGGCTGCTCTTTCCTTACTGCAGAGATGTTTGCAGAACGATGGTGCTTCTGCACGTGGAGCTGTGCCAGGTACTCACAGGATCCTCTGCTTCAGCAGTCATAACTTGGCCTGGCAGATTCTTAGGGTTTACTGGCATTCTGCAGCAAAACTGTGGTTTTTTCTGTTTCTTAGAAAGCTAAATTCAAATGATGTTTCAGTAGATAATCCTGGGATTCTGGCGATACACAGATGCATATATAATTTCTGTAAACACACATATTGAGCTGTGTGGATCAATGAAGGTCCAATTTTGTGATCAGTCTGTATCTCCTGTTACAGATTATGAAGTAACTGCATACATCAGTCTGGTAACTTGAAATTTTTAAGTATGTTTTTGCTTACAGAAGCAGAATTTGAAGAGCGCTCCATGAAGAGGAGTGCTCTACAAGCAAAACATCTATCTAACGCTAATGGGAGATGCAACATCAGTTTTCCAGCCTGCTTAGTCATCGTACTGTTACTTAAAAAGATAAAGGCATTAGCTTTAGGAGTGATCAGTGAGCTTAATTTTTTTTTGTCCCGAGAATCATTGTTTGCCTTCCTAGTGTGCAGCTTTAGAGAACCTACTTACAGAGCTGGAGAAAGCTGAAATTACACTTTTTGTTGTTTTTTTTTTTGCATAGAGCACTCCTTAAAACTTGTACTTGTTTCTTCTCTGTTTTGAAAGTTCAGTGAGGAGAGACTTGTTGCTTTCATTTTAGGAAAATAGTTGATCATGTTGATTGGATGACATCTCCTGAGCAAGTAGCAGATGCAGTTAAACGCTTCAGGTATGTCTTCTGTCATGTGTGTTAGATGGGAAGTTGTTACAGATGACAGACCAGTTGGCGTATGCTTCCTGTTCTCTTTATGTAAGGAAATGCTTATTGCTGTGCAGAACGCCGCTTGAAGCATACACTGCTTTTTACGTGTGTTAAGTGAGAGAAAGTAATTTTCTGCATGAAAAAGAATATTTTTGAGTTTCCTTCTCTTCCTTAGAAAGGTCTTTGCTAACCAGTCTAGAATAAAGCTGAAGTGTGGGTATAGTTATGAATGTATTCAGATTACTGGATGAAGTGTCTTGTGTACCTTGATGAATGCACGTGCATGCCTTGCTTTAAAAGGCAAACGATGATTATTGGAAAACCCCTAAGGTCTGAGCTAATATATCTGTGGACACATACTTTCAAACTCAGACTTCAATTCAGTGATATCAAAGGCTCTGTCATGCCAATTCCTGAAAGTCTGAATGACCTCTGCAATGCTGTTGAGTGAGAGCCGCCCCCCTTGCATTTTTTATTTTTAATTTTTTTTAATGAAGTGAAAGAGATAAGTAGATAATGTGTCAGCCGAAAGGCCTTACTTTACAGATACTCTATTATTTAACAAAACCGAGTAGGCGTGTGAGCTTCTTACTCAGAAGAAAATGTCACTCACTGAGGCAAAATACCTTTTTAGCCAGAGGCATGGTTTTTACATTGAGCTTTACACTAAACTGAAACTACCTGAGAGCTTCTGCTTGTTGATGGCTTAACTGCAATTAATAGATCTAAGCCCCTCAGTAGCAAGAGAGTCTGAGTGGTGAAAGTACATCTTAGGTATGTTTTGTGTAACAGCTACGTGGTGTTTATTTTGTAGCGTTGAGGGATTGGGAAGAGCCTTTCACTTGATAAAATGTTAATGTATTTTGACAAATTTCCTTTTGTTACAGAGATGCCTTTTGGCCCAATGGCATTTTAGCAGAGACCGTTCCACGGAGGGACAAAGCTATTAGAATGAGAACGAGAGTGGCGGGAAAGACCAAATTACTGGAGGTAATGCCAGGTAAGTGATTCTGAGCTTGTAGCCTAATACTTCTTACCATATATTGTTGCTGGAATCAATGTCTCTATTCTTGGTAATTGTTGAAAAGAAATGTTGACGTATAAACTGTATTTAAATAAAAAATGTTCTTAATTATTCAGATACAGAACATTTTCACATTTCACATGACTTTGTAACTGTAATTCTCTTAGAACCAACCATATGTTTAGTTTCACTAGAGGATTTTAGTCCATGAAATACCTGTATTCCACTGCAGTGTGATTTCATGTAAAATAGCATGATTCCACATACATAAAGATGAATTAAATTCAGATTTTTTTTCTGCTGTAGAACTTAGTTGATTCATGTTATGCATAATAGAGACACTGTTACTTCAAATTCTGAGCTACAGAATTTGAAAGACTTGATGTTCAGCTGAAGTTTGTTGTTAACCCAGTAGTAGAATTTAACTTAAAACTCTGTAATTTTATTTGATTTTTTTTTTTTGTAGATGAACTGAAGCACATCATAGGTGCTGAGACAACACGGAAGGGCATTCTTCGGGTCTTCGAAATGTTCCAGCACACTCAGCTCAATAAGAGAATGGTGTATGTGTTTCTGGAGAGATTCCTTGAGACCTTATTTCCACAAAATAAGTTCCATGAGCTCTTCAACAAACTGCATTCACGGTCAAAGCAGATGCAGAGGTATAAGCAGAGACTACATTCTACTCAAGCGCCTTCCTTGCAGAAAAGGTGACACTTCAAACCTATTAAGCTGGTGTATGTTTGTCCGGGACTAATTACTTGGGCAGATTCTCTGGGGCTTCAAACTCACATGCTGTTATTTCTGCACCAGTCTTCTAGTGTCACATATTAGGTTATTAATGCATCTGTAAGACCTGTGGATCTTCTCATCTTCACTTGTAGTTCAACCACTACCAGAAGGGTTTGTGTGTCTTAAATGATTTGGTGCGTCTCCATGCAACATTGAGAAGAATACTGGCCCAACATACAAGAGTGCTGATTCCTTCCCATCCTGAGTTGATGTTTTGCCAGCAATGAAAAGTGCCAGACTGTTCCAGTAAAGCACAGCTGTGGTGGTACAGTGCAAGAAAAGGATGTTTTGGCACTGGGAGATAGTGCAATGTGTGAGAATCAGGTGGAATTATTCTGTGTTACGGCTGAGGCTCTGTAGGGCTCTTGCAACATTCCTGTAAAGGCTGAGCTAATGGGAGAAGCAGTCGCTGGAATAGCAGGTTCATAGAGGGGAAAGTAGTTCTAGCCCCATGATAAAAGTACATTTATTAAAGAAAAAATGAAGCAATGTGGCTTTTATGCCACGTTTACTTCACCTTTCATGTTTTGAAAAATGAACTAATGTTAGATTTAATGGGGGTTTTAGTAAAGGCAGCGGTGCAGTAGAAGTAAACCCTTTATTCTGATTATTCTGTAGCTTTAAGGGCCGTATTCTGCTCTTACAGCACCTGGCATACATTTTGCATGTAACTTCAGTGGAGAAGGGGCATCATCCTATTTACGTTCAGTTGACATATTACAACAACGTCAGTTGATAGTTGTAGAAGGAAGGGGGTACATGATTCAGAGAGGATAGACATTGTGTTAGAAGATGAGGAAATTCCACTAAGACACAGTTTACACACAACTCCCCGCTAAACTTTGAAACCTTTTGGGTGTAAAAGACTGTGTTCTGCTGAACTGAAAATATCCCTGCCCCTTAGTGTGTAAGCCTCCTGTGGAAAAATACCAGAATTAGTTGGTTCCTCACAGGTAAAGGATTTCATTAGTCATATGCAAACACGTGGAAATTCCTGAACACATCTCAGTGTATATATGAAAATAAAAAGGAGATAAAATTATAATATTTTTTTAAATATTTTTTTTATTTTTTGCATAGTGTGAAATTTTAATAAAAATTTGACATCAAGGCCCCACATCCATTTGTTTAGTTTCACTGAAGAATTTATCCGACTGAAAGTCAAGTAACAACGGAATAATCCTGTTTGGCCACAGCATATCTCAGTTTGTGTTTTCTTTTTCAGTCCCCAACTGTTTGAGCACCACTGTCCGAGTGAATAGAAGGTAATCCTATAGAGTCCTTTTTTTTTTTTTTCCCCCCTGAACGCTAAACTCAGGGTAAGATACAGCAGCTGATCAAGGATCCTTACAGTAATTTGTGTCTTAATGGGAACAAATGATCCTTTTGTGTGAGGGAGGAACCCAGACCTTTTCTGAAAGCGTTCTAAGAGAAGATAGAAGGCTCTCAAAGGACCGACTTAAATTGTCTGAAACCTCTATATAGATCGTTTTTTCTCATGGACTCTATTAATGCAATGTAGCCTTTTATCATACTCCTTAATGATGATCATATTGTGCTGTTAACATTCTCATACAATATGCATGGGCTCAAGTGCACTTGTTTTATTGGTTTTTTTTCTTTATTGCAGAACTAAATACTGTAAATGAAATCCCTTTCTTTTATAATCCCTCAGCAGACAGGTTGCTAAATAGGTAAAGGTCCTTCCCCCTTCCTCTCTGCAGGTTCTATAGAAGTGAGATGATTCAGTGCAGTTGCATTTAACAAAATTTGAGTTCCCTGTGAGGTCATCGCCGTAGCGAGCTCCTTTTGTTTACGTGCCTGTAGCTTCCTCTGATGTCGGGTGCTCCAGCAGACCTGACATCCGCCTGAGGAAAGGGCGTTCAGCAGCTCTTCTCAGCGATATAGTAAATATATCGTAGGTCCTACCAAATCTAGTTAATGTCATTTAAACCACTGAATTCATTACACGGTATGGAAGTGGGAAGTTCAAATACTGTTTTGTCAAATCGGTGGAACCTCTTATCTATCTGTAGGTACCATGAAAAACTTCGAGAGACTAGTGATCACGTGCAAATTTGGGATTTTTCTTTTTTTTTTTTTTTTTAATTTTCTGGTACATTCTGTGCGAAAATAAAATAATATCTCTAGGAATGTGAACTGAACATTATACACCATGTTTATTAGTCGTTTTACTTAATGAATTTATTACATATATATACTTATTCACACATTTTATACACGTGTGTGCATATGTATATATGTATTGAAGTTTTGTCTTCTGTATTTAATTACAGAATGTGACTTCCTAATTCAGTGGTGCCTGTTGGCTGGCAAGAATCGTCAGAAATGAGTACATTTTGTTAAAAAAGAGTTTGTATGTATCCTTATTGAAATAGTTTTCTTGTTGACAATTTAAAGTACCTGCCCTGTCAACCCATGCAGCCTATTTATCCTAGAAAGTCTCCAAAAGTGAATGTTAATATACAGCACTTAAGTGTCTGGGTGTATCTTCTGGCCTTCGGGTGCTGTGACTGGCCGCTGAAAATTGTGCCATCGTCAACAAATGCACTTGTTTTAGCCTTAATTATTTTTAAGAGAAAATGAGCAATTGAATTTTTCATTTGGTTCATCCTCAAGCTTGTGCTGCTGGTGTTTGCTAGAACTAAACAGTACATTTTAAGTGCTACCAGAATGTGTACCAAAATAAAAATACATGAGTTCCACAATCTAAATTTTAATTTTGTGCAATATTTTCATTTAATGCATGTGTGTTTGAATAACTGTAAAATAAATGAATTTTTAATGTTTTGAGGTCTAGGTTAAAAATGTTTTTCTCAGCTGAGCAATTTTGCATTCTGTTGTTGCGTTTCGTTTGTTTACGGACTTGTTTTAAAAGTCTTATTCGTTACTCCTTTGTTAATTCCCTTGTTCTCAATGACCTTTGCTCATCTGAGCAAAGCTCATCTATTACAAGGGACAAATCTGAAGAGCACATCTCATGCATCTCGCTGTTCTGAGTTACTTGGGCATATCATTGTGCAGTGTCAGCTCTGTGCCTGATGGTTCTGTCGAGGCTTTTTCCCTCCCTTCCCCCTCGTTTCCCTAACAAAGAGCGAACATGACACAGGCGCCCGTGGTCACTTCTCCTGAGTGGCAGAGGACTCTGAAATTATTATGATTTTTTTTTTTTGAGTTTGCATTTATGTTCTGTCCAATAGAAAGCTAAAAAAATTACACTAATAAAGTATTAACAGGATGATGACGAGTCTCTGTTTGTTTTTAACATAACTTCCTTGCCGGCAGGTTCGAATGTTTCTCAAGTCTGGAGAAATCTCTAGAGGCAAAAATATTGCTGCTAAATAAAAGAATCCATCCTTGATCTTTTTTTTTTGTTCATTTGTTTTGCTTTCAACAAGTGAATCTCCACATTCAGCGTTTGCAGAGTGCTGTGTTTTAAGCGGACTTAGGCAGAAGTGGTGGGATTGTGTGGTGTGGGAGGTTTTTTATGGTGTTGTGGTTTTTTCACTCTTTGGCTTTTTCCCCCGGGGTTTCTTTTCGCAGCAGCTGGATCTACCATGGGAGCACAATTGTTACCCTTGATATATTTTTTCCAGCTGTTTCACATTCATCAAAAAGGTGTCCTGAGCTACAGAGATGTTAGTTCTTTGACCCTAGGGTAAAATGTTTACCACTTTCACTAACTTAACACGCTTTTGCTCCAGGATATAGACACATCTCAGGAATTTCACCAGCTGATGGAGAGTTCTTCTTTGTTGAAGCTATCTTGAGATAATTTTATGGCAAGAAATTCACTCCATCATAAATTTCTTTTAAAAGTCTTAAAGATATCTGCTACTTGCTAAGTGAGGATGGTGTGTGTCTGTGGCTTACTGAACTCTCCAGTATATCACATTATCTGGTTTATTTTGGTTTGATGAATGTGAAGTATTGCTGAAGTTTTTATAAAGTGCAGCAGTCAGCGTCACTTTGCATTGATTTAACTACAAATTTTGTGATTTGTCTCTTAGAAGAAAGGAAATCATATGGTGAAAAAATGAGTTTACTTAGGTATTTTAGAAGAAATCAAGCTTCGTTTTCATGAAACACGAAACATCCATGCCACTGCAGTTTCCCCCCCACGCACACAGAAATGTTTGAATACTTAGATATTCAAATATCTTAAATAACTGTTTCGCATGGCGTCTCTCTCAAATTACCATGGTGTGTTTTAGTTGGGATAATCTGCCTGGGTCAGTTAAATGCCTTTATCTTGTTCAACAAGGGCTAGCTGGAATTCTCATTTGACATTTTAGAATTGGAACATTGCATGAATTCTGAGATTAGGCTTTAGTAGAGAATGAGATTATATTTAATTTCTTGACAATCAAGAGCTACTTATTTTGAGTAAGGAATGTAGCTTTCAAAAATAGACTTGCTCGTTATTGCCATAATGAGTTTAAAAGTGAGTCCCAATTAGTCTTTTGAATTTTTGTGCTGAATTTTCTCAGCTCGGGTTCTAGAGGCATGCTGATTCTAATTTAAGAGGTACTGATGCAATTTTCTGTTACCAAATAACCAATGTTTTTTTGTAAGAGATTCTTATAAAATTGTGAGACTCGGGAATGCTCCTCTTCGTTTAGAACATGAGGAATGTGGTTCTGTGATTTACCTGGTTATTCCATGCACAGAATAGCCAGAACATGAAAGAAACTTTTACCTTTTTTGTTCCTTTTCTCAAAATAGCCAGCCGGTACTAGGATAGGTACAAAACTTTGCAGAAGTCATCTTGCATTAGCAAGCTACGAGTTTGTTATTTTTCAGCTTCAAGATGAAATTAGAATTTAATTTGATAATCAGACTTTTTTTTCCAAGGACTTAACACAAAACATTCCTTTATAGTCTGCTTAAAAAGTTGGTTTTGCATCTTACCTGCTCCTTTTTATATGATTTAAATCATTGTCTTCCCAGTAATCCCTAGCATCGTTTGTGCAAACAAGGACTGCTTATAGCTAACGTAAAAGAACAAGAGAAAAGGAGTTTCCCTTGATATTCTCCTGTCTGGGGCAATGATATCAGTGCGATGTGACAGTGGAATGTCATGCGATTGGAAGTTCCCCAATTTT